ATCCTGTGAGTTGCATGCATTTAGCAAAAGCAATGTTTGCCATCTCTAATCTTCTGTGATACCCTGTGAACAAAAATGATTTGACAAGAGATTTATTGGGTGATTTTACTTCAGTAATCCTAAGACTGAATTCTTCCTTTATAGGTAAAATACAGGCCCAAGCCGTGTTACATGAGAAAGCAGCCTGACATAACCTCAGGGATGCGTGCCATCCTAGTGGACTGGCTGGCTGAAGTTGGCGAAGAATACAAGCTTCAGAATGAGACGCTGTACCTTGCTGTGAACTACTTAGACCGGTTCCTTTCTTGCATGTCTGTCCTCAGAGGAAAACTGCAACTTGTAGGAACAGCAGCAATTCTTCTGGCTTCGTACGTATGTTTTTGTAAATGAACAAGCCTTGGGAGATGACAGCTGCATTGGGCTACATCGTGAGATAAAAGGAGTGCCTGTTTTGAATGAATGTCTGTGTTTAGCAGAGAAGAAATATGTCAGTGTTGGTTGATCTACCCTCAATAGTAGCTACACCAAGTACTGTATAAGCAAACTGCAGCCTCCCCCCAGTGTAACTTCCCACCCCTCGCAACACTCCATCTTGCTAGCACCTCAAAATTAAAAATGTACGGAAAAGATCCATTACATATTTGAGTAGAGGGAATTTTATGCTGTTTTTGTCCTCTTTACTATTTTTAAATCCTGTGGCTTTTTAAAAAGCAGGAAGTTACTTTTAGAAAAGTTACATTTCGAAAAAAGCCCTCCCTGAGCCTAAAATAGGCCGGAGTGCACCATGGTGAAATTGCCCATATACTCTAGTGCGAAAGGAGCATTATTTGTGCTTTGTACATGTATGTGTGCTTGTACTTTCTCAGTCAATAGAAAACGTCTGACTTTGCATAGATTAGAAACGCATTTAGTTTCACATCCATCCCAGTGCTCTGTCTCTTTTCTCTTCTGCTGTCAGCTACTGAGCTTCAGTGTTTCTCCCCAGAGACTCAGGAGAGTGATGGCTTGCAGAGGGGGAAAATGCTGTGTAATATACGTGGGGGGATGATTGCTTGCTTTTTCACTGTATCCTGTGAGAAAGTCCTAGAGATGCTCGGATATGGATGGAAGCAGTGTAGGTACCTTTGTCTAGTTTCAGCACTATCATTTCTCTGATGGAGCCGCTTCCATCAGTTCTTCCCTTTCTATGAAATTTTGCAGGTTACTTAGCAAGGGTAAATCTTATTTTCACATAAGTTGTCTTTTGAGTAGCAGATCCACCCCTCCAAATATAAGGACTTTCTTTGAGCAACTTTGCCCCTTCATTGAAAATGTTACAACTTACTTTCCTTATGGGGAGACAACAATGTATGGCAGTTTGGATGAAAATAGCCATAAAAATCACAGTGCCCCCATTTAACCCCTTCTCTCAACTCCCAAAGGACTGTCCTTTTGCAAAAGCTCCTGCATTTGTTTCTCTGGAAAGTATAAGTGCCCATTCACACAGAAGGGCTGTTGTGCCTCCAGATCACAGAAAGTAAAGTTTCACTTCTCAGTGAAAGAAAGCTGTGGATTTTGCATACTGAAGTTATGATTTAGATCTCAGCGTCATCCAGAGTGCGCCAGATTCCTAATTGGTGGCAGAATTCTGCAAGGTACAGTAGCAAATAGTGGAAAGTAGGATCTCCTGAGTCATAAAATTGCAATGGAAATAACTCTTGGAGGATCAAAAAAAGTGGTGGTTTTAATTTAATAGACTAAAACATGCTGTTAAGTGCAGTACTCTTTTCTTTCTTTCCCCAGGAAATATGAAGAAATCTATCCACCAGAAGTAGAAGAATTTGTGTATGTAACAGATGACACCTATACCAAGAAACAACTGTTGCGAATGGAACACCTCCTTCTCAAAGTACTCTCTTTTGACTTGACAGTGCCAACCATCAACCAGTTTCTCCTGCAGTATTTACAGAGGCAGGGTGTCAGTCTTAAGACAGAGCATTTTGCAAGGGTAAGGATGTGTTTTGCCTTCTGTGCTTGAAGGTCACTTAAATGAGATGATGTCGCCAACATATCTGGTGCCACTGCTACCATTCCTGCATCTCCTCTGCAGAAGGATATTTGGTCTGCCATGCTGAAATTGGCCTTACTGAAGGATATTACAAACAATTGCTTCAACTGGTGTGTTTCTTTAACTGAGAGTTACAACATTTTTGGTTTAGGTGTTTTGTCTCTGACCGATCCATAACTGTCTTCACATTTCTGTAGTTCAGAGGAAGGTAAACTTTAGCATTACCCTTCAACAATGATTTTTTTTGAGGCATGTGTGAGTGGAATGTATTTCTCTGTGTTTCCAATGCTCAACAAAATTGAACCTATGGAAGGGGTGGGAGGGAATTCACAACTTGGTTGTGGATTATATGAAAACTGGCTGAAGACTCCAAGTTCTCCGTGACCTAGAATGCCCATTTGAACTACATAACATGATTTAGTACCATAGTTTTAGTTAGAATAGAGAAGAGTTGGAAGGAAGCAATGCCCAAAGAGTGGGTAGAACAAAATTATTACTTCTTCTAGATGTCAACAGCAGTATATGATAGAATAGGGATTAAGCTTGTGACAGCTGATGTTTGCGTATGGTTTTTATTACTACTTGTGGTTAATTGTGGCTAATTGATGAGGTGCTAGGGCATGTCTTGCTTTATGATTGTGCAGATGATTGTGCAACGGAGATGTGACCTTGCAGTTTGTCAGTTAGCTGCAGCTGGTTATGCAAATGTTGGCAATAGGATTCTGGCCAGTAGTTTATGCATAAACGAAAACTCAGTCAGCTACATGACATATTGACCTCAAACCTGCTTAATTCTGTATTGCAGTATAGATAGCATGGTCTACAGAAGGGATAGACAAAGTGGACTGTTTTTGTGACAGTTGCTTTGTGGCTTGCATGTTCTTGTGGCTTTCAGGCCTCTTCCATGTCAGTCTTTTCATGGCAAAAAAAAAAAAAAAGACACATTGCTACTCCTTGAAAGTGCAAGGAATCTTTCAAACCCACACAACTTCCCCTCAGTTTTTTTTTTAAAACAGCAGCCACTTCCACTATCAACACCTGCCCAGGCTTTTTAAAATTGTTTATTTATTTATCTTGCGTTTTGGGTAATCAATCCAAAGGATTCCAGTGGCGTAAAATTGGCTACCAAAATCCAGAAAAACTGTCAGTCCCCACTTTACAAACTTTGATGAATGAAGTTTTAAAATCTCAACTGATTTCCTTGTGGTTAAACTAGCATGCAGTTCTCTTCTCAGTATGTGGCCGAGCTGAGTCTCCTTGAAGCGGATCCATTCCTGAAGTACCTGCCCTCACAAACGGCAGCAGCTGCTTATTGTCTGGCAAACTACACTGTGAACAGGCATTTCTGGGTAAGGTTGACTTTAAAATGTTGAATAAATTTAAACTTGAATATAGATGTTTCAGAGAACGAAACAATGTATGTAATTCATGCTTCAGGTGCATCTTCTGTTTTAGCAACAAGTTTCAAAATGGCAGAAATATCTAGAGGTCTGCAAAACTATTTCCAGTTTTTCTCACTGCAGGGCTTTAGAGCTAGTAAGATTATTAAATCTTAAGATGAAAAGCAAACAAGAACTTGCTGAGATTAAAAACAATTTTCTGCTTCTGTAGTTTAGTTGACCTTTAATATATTGTTTGCTGTAGTTTGAAATCCATTAAATCCACGGTCATAAATAGTTCTAGAAAAAAACTAAGAAAGATGTGTGGGTCTCACAAAATATAAGTGCAGGAGAGGCGATAACTTTATTAGACCACTAAAAAAAAAGCAAACACTCAGTGAGATTCCATGGGTCAAGTCCACTTCTTTGGGCCATTCACCAATATTGCAGGGAAATTATAAATGGGAGTCTCTAAATTCATGGCAGAAGTCTGAAAGGTGATTCTTAAGGTGAATAAATTTCAGTAGCATCTTGTCCAGTAACTTGCCCAGGCAAGGATGGTGTTGATAACTTCTATTAGAAATATTGTGAGATGATATTTGAATGCTAGCGAAAACTAATTTTCCAAAACAAAGTACTCTCTGTGGTGCTTCTTTGCCAGCAGGGTGTCTTGTTTTATGTAGTTTGACACAGAAGGAGCATCCTATTGTGAAGTGTGTCAGAAAATCAAGCCTATGTGAACATAACTGGGATGGCAGAGTTATTCAGGTTGAAATAGGGCTTTGCACTCCTATTTTTGTCTCAGAAAATTGAGCCAAGCCACTTACGTCATTTCAAAGAGGTTGCCATATTTGTTTGTTTCAGCAAAAGCACGAGCAAAAAGTTTTGTAGCATCTTTAAAATTAGCAAACCTGTTTCATTATAAGATTTCACAGATTACAGTCCACTGCAGACAGGTCTGGGCCTGAAGAAGCAGATTGGAATTCACCAAAAGTTGCTGCAGTATTTTTGGCTTTTTTTAAAAAAAAATCTGTTTCTCAGCTGTAGCATCCCGACTGGAGTGCTCTGCCATTGGAGACTTAACTGGAGCTGAAATTGGCATGATTCTGGGGACAAGTCAAGACATGCCCCTTACAACCTTTGGTGGTTGAGGATCTTGGACTGTATAGGTTTTGGTGCAGTGGTTTTAATATTTTAAAGATCTTAAGTTTTAAAATTGTTTTATATAACTGTAACCTGCCATTAGAGCTTACAACGTAGGGAAGGCAAAGGCAGGCAGGCAGGAAAATATTGAGCAGCTCTGTTCTATTCCGTGAAACACTTCAGCTCCCAATTGAAACAAGGCGACTAACTGAGGTTGGGGCTTATTCTAACCTGAGTATAGAAATATTATAATTTTTTTTGTTACAACTCCCAGAATCCCCTAGTCAGCACGAAGACTAACTTTCTTGCCCTCTGAGTCATTATCTGATCTTTGGTCATGACAATAATATTTTTCCAGGTATATCCAGCACATTACAGCTATCTGAATGGAAAATTAAAGCTGTGCTTCTCTTTTTCTCCTCTCTTGATCAGCCAGAAACCCTTGCTACTTTCACTGGATATTCCTTAAGTGAGATAGTGCCTTGTCTCAGTGACTTGCACAAAGCATGCCTCGATGCCCCTCATCGACAGCAACAAGCAATAAGGGAAAAATATAAGCTGACTAAGTAAGTGCTGTGGCCATGGGTAGTGGCTACTAATTAACTGCTTCTCAGCATCTTGTCTTTTATCAGTTTCTAATCATGAACTCTGTCTAATAAATGACTTCCTTCAATTGCAGGTATATGCAGGTATCTCTTCTGGAACCTCCATCCATTCTACCCCTACAATGAACTGCACCATGTCAGTAAACTCCATAGAAACAAAAGCACTAGACGCCCGATCAATAGAGTTGATCTAGCCAATTATTATTAATTTTTTAATAGGGCACTGCAGGCCATGTGTCAAATCTGCTGTTTAAATACTTCATGATGACTTTCTTGGTGTATAGTTATATTGTATTGCAAGGACTCAGGACTGTAGTTTTAGCATAAACTAGAAGCATTTTTAATAAACATCTTTTACATTAAAAAACAGAAGTCTGTTGATAGTTCTGTATACCTAATGTTAAAATTAATGCTAAAATATGGTAGTAGGGGAGCAAATCTGGTACCAGTGTAAATTCTCTACTTGTATTTGAAGTCAAACAGCTTCATTTAGGGTTATCCAAATTCTGATTTGTGTTAGGGCTGTTAAAGCCTGGAAATAACACACAAAAGTGAGAAAAGTGGTGGCTATAGAACCCTTTTGTCTGTCAGTACAATAGACGCAATCTAGAGTGGAATAGATAATGACCAAGGCTTTGGCCTGCATGTCATCCCCAGGATCTAGATGTGCCCCCCCCACAAGAACCCCCACATAGTCCCCCAAAAATGTGGCTGAAAAATCCTTTTATACTTTGGAGAAGACAGGTTTGCTATGCTTTGATGCCAAAACATGACAAAGTCCTATTCCCACAAAAGTGTTAGTTTGTTTTTTAAATTCAAAGTGTATTGTATAATTTGAGAGTGTGTGCTAGAGGTTGCGTGCTGCCTAACCTTATAAATAAGAATGCAGGTTTGTGGTCCATGTCGGATATTATCCTAATCTATCATTTGGTTTTAGTGCATCTAGGGTTAAGAGGTATCTGTCACTGTGAAACCTGTTTGCAAATCAGAGCCATCTTTTGGAAAACTTAAGTACTGCAAGTATGGCATGGGGAAAATGAGCTGTGGAATTTTAAAAGTTGTTTTATTATT